CATTTTGTAGGTAAGTAAAGCAGATTCATGGGGAGATGAAATAAGCTTGCTTAAAGTTATATAGATAGTAAAATGGCAAAGCAAGGATTTAAATGAAGGCTGTTTGACACTACAATGTTTGCATTGTGTTAGCATTCCAAGATATGCTATGAAAGATTTCTGACTAAAGGGAAAGAGAGTAATAAAAATAATATTCTAGAAGCTTATCAAGTGCCAAGTTTTGTGCTAAGTACTTTATATGAACTCCCCTAACTCCTGAGAAGCACTCATTGAATTATTTATCTCTGTTTTATAGATGAGAGAGTTGAGTCTTAGAGTTTTACTTGCCCAAATTCTGGAGCCACTATGTGGTGAAGCCCATACCCAGTGCCCCTTGAAGTATAGCTAACGATTAGCCACCCTGAACCAAAGTTCCCACCTTCACAAGACTCACTTCTGAGTCACATCTACTATTCCAGCTGTTCATATTAGTTAAAAATTCACGTAGGTTGAGTACATACTGATTTCTAGTTATCTGGACAACCTTAGAAAATAGTCACATACGGGATCCCTGGGTGGCGCAGCGGTTTAGTGCCTGCCTTTGGCCCAGGGCGTGATCCTGGAGACCCGGGATCGAATCCCACGTCGGGCTCCCGGTGCATGGAGCCTGCTTCTCCCTCTGCCTATGTCTCTGCCTCTCTTTCTCTCTCACTGTGTGCCTATCATAAATAAATAAAATATAAAATAAAATAAAATAAAATAAAATAAAATAAAAAAGAAAATAGTCACATAGCCCTGGCCCACGGTACTTTGGTAAACACACTCTGATGCTTATGAAATAAATACAATAAAGAGAGGGATCATGACTTAAACTTCCCAGGATCCATTGCCTTTGTGGCCTATTTAACAAAAACAGTGGTCATCCTCCATGTTTGAGGTCCTTACTCATGTTTCCATCAGCTCCTCTAAGGAATTTTGTTCGTTCTCCATCAGTGGAAATTTTTGGTTGAAAATGTCATATTTTCAAAATGTGTGCTTAGTTAAAAAAAATAAAACTTTTTTTTTTTTTTCTGGTGGGTGAGGGTAGCAGGACTGGTGGAGATAATAACACTTATCCAGCAATTAGAAGACCTGACTGTTTCACTAGGTGGTTGAGTTATTTAGAACCTGTCAAACTGCTTTGTTTCTTCCCTGGTCTTCAGTCAGAGGGTAATAATTACAATAATCTTAGAGGAACATAATGAGGATTAACTGGCCAGTATTCTTAAAATGACTGGCAGAGAGGTCTGGTTGTTACATAATATGCCCCTTCTCTCCCTGGGGCTCAAGTTCTTTATCTGCCACATGAGTGGATTAAACCAGATGTCATCTGAGTCAGTCCTAATTCTAAAGATCTGTGATATAGAAATGATGGGAGCATTAGACAAGAACTTTAGAAGAGTTAATGCACATATATTCCAGTATGTAAGGAGAATGATGAACGTGATGATAAGTGAAAGATGTAAAAGAAGACCAAATGAAATTTTTGAAACTGAAAATCATCACAACAGAAATGAAAAATTCATTGAATGGGTTAACAGGTTAAATACTACAGAAGAAAAGATAAGCAAATTTGAAGATAAAGTTCTAGAAGTTATGAAAAATAAAACAAAAAGATTTAAAAATGCTGCCAACAACAACAAAAAAGAGCAGAGTCTCAGTGGCCTGTGGGATATTGAGCAGTCTAACCAGTCTGCAATTGGACTATCAGAAGGAAAAGAGAGACAATGGGGCAGAGAACATATTTGAATTAATAGTATCAAAACTTTTTTTCTTCAAATTTGGTGAGAAATATAAACCTATGGAACCATATCAAGGTGCATCAAAATCAAATTGCTGACAATCAATAATAAAGAGAAAATTGTAAAAGTAGTCATTTTTTAAAAAATGACACTACACAAAAAAAGAAAGCAGATTTTTCCTCAGAGACTATGCAAGCCAAAGATAATGGAATGACATCCTTAAAGTGATGCGGCAAGAAAATAAAACAATTCACTTAGAATTTTATATTCAACAAAGATATCCTTCAAAATAAGGTGAAATGAAGACTTTTTCAGACCACTGAAAATGGAGAATTCATTACCAAAAGTCATTCTGCACTGCAAGAAATATCAAAGAAAGTTATTCAGTGAAAATAAAAATGATATCAGGAGTGGTACGATATTATTTGAAGGTAGGCCGTGATAAATTAATGATATATATGTAAATCTTAGAACAACAGCAAAAAAAAGCAGAATAGCTAATAAATCATTAGGAATTAGAAAAAACATTAAGTCTAAAAGATAAAAAACAGAAATAAAGAACAAATGGGACAAGTAGAAAATAAAAAGATGATAAACAAATGCAAAGCTATCAGTAATTACATTTTATATATGTGGTATAAATACTATGATTAAAAGACAGAGATTGTTAGACTAGATACTAAAGCAAAATTCATCTATGTGCTATCTACATGCTTTGAAGCATACTTTGAAGTACAAAGAGTCAGATAAGTTAAAATAAAATATTGGAAAAACTCATCATGCAAAAAATTATCATAAGAAAGTATAGCTATATTAATAATAGACTGCAGAACAAAATTGCTATGGATAATGGAAGACTTTCATAATGATTAGGGGGCAAATCATCAAGAAGGTATAAGAATTCGGGATCCCTGGGTGGCGCAGCGGTTTGGCGCCTGCCTTTAGCCCAGAGCGCGATCCTGGAGACCCGGGATCGAATCCCACGTCGGGCTCCCGGTGCATGGAGCCTGCTTCTCCCTCTGCCTGTGTCTCTGCCTCTCTCTCTCTCTCTCTCTGTGTGTGACTATCATAAATAAATAAAAAAATTAAAAAAAGAAGGTATAAGAATTCTAAATATAGATAGATAGATAGATAGATAGATAGATGATATAACACAGTTTTAAAACATGTGAAGCAAAAACTAAAGGAACTGAAAGGAGAAATAAATCCACAAATGTAGCTGGAGCCTGCAACATCACTCCCTCAGTAATAAATAGAACAAGTAGACACAAACTTGAGCAACATTACCAACCAGCTTAATTTAACGACTTAGCACTACACCCAACAACCATAAATACAAACTTTTGAGTGCACATGATATATTGACTAAGAGATCATACTCTTTATCATAAATGAAGAACTGAAATTTGTTTAAACTTTTTAAACACACACGTGCCAAAATGTATTATTTATATAAAATATGTAATGGGGATCCATTGGTATTTGAGACTGGATATTACAACTGATTTTCATCACCATTATTTTAAAATGTTTTTCTCAATCTCATTTTTCTATTAAGAGTTTATAATAAGCAAATGGCAAAGAAGAGCTTATAAAAATAAAAATGTACCTCAAAATTTAAAAAAATTTAAAAATTAAAGTGTACCATTTAAAACGTAAATGTATATCATTTGTTTTTTTCACTCTTACGTTTCATGTAAGATTTTATTTGGGACAAAAAGAGTGCCACTGTTAAATTTTGTAAATGTTTGAAATCACTGACCAATCTTGATGATCCCTGCCAATTAGGCACATTATACATCTGTTCTAATTTTTGTCAATCATCAGAGAGAATGGAAAGACCAAAATATGACAATAATAATCACACAAAACCGCTGGCAGTAGCTTCCACTGAATGCTTACTCAGTACCAGGCATTGTCCTAAGTACTCTCATCCATTTGTTTCTCTCAATTTCCTCCCATTTTACAGCTCAGAACACTTACATAACTTGCCTGAGATCAAACCAATAGAAAATACCAGGGCCATAACTTGAACCTAGTAAAATTATTTCACCATATAGTCTTCCATTTTGAAAACCAGGGTCAGATATACTGGCATTAGATACAAAGACCCCATGATTTCTTATTTCAGCACTTTGTGAAGTATTTAATTGGTTCTCTTTTGCCTTGACTTCAAATTTGCCTCTTCACTGGTCTGTCTTATTTGATAAGTTCATCAAACATCAAGACTCTTTGTTCATTTTCAAAAAGGATTACAATGATAAGCTTTTATAATTAAGAATATCTCAGCAGAGATTTCCTTTACCACCATTCTCTCGCCTTTATCTTCTAATTATTAGAGGTGAATTTTCTGATTTTTCAAAAGCGTATTGGCTTTAAATACAAGTTACAAATTAACTGCTTGTAAAAATGCCTTTCCCCCTTCTGAACTGTTATGTAAAGGAAATCTGTCTTGCTTTAGCATTTAAAAGCAATAATGATTCAAAATTAAATCACTCAACAAGAACTTGAATAAACTTAAAATCTTCAGTGTTTGGGAGATAAGGACTGCTTTTACACTACCCCAAAGCTAAAATTAAGGCCTGTTTAAGCACCACAAAATACTTGATGTAAAACCTGAAGCCAGGTTGAACAATTCAAGGAAATGAAATTGGTATAATTGCAATGTACATATGAAAATATCACTTCCATTTATTACCCTACAGCAAAAGGTAAACATTTTAAGAATGAAATGACCCAGCATCTCTATAGTCTCTTGCCTTTCCCAAGATGATGTTATTAACATTACCTAATTGTATCCTCCTTCAAGCTCTCTGAGATGGGAATTTGCAAGATTCACAAACAGATAAGTAGAGGTTAGCTACCCAGCATTACTCAAGAGAATTATTATTTATTAGGCTGAGTATACTTTATATTCTAGGACCTTATTTCATATTCATTAACTCTAACAAATGAGGCATTATTATTCTTGTTTCCAGATAGGGAACTTGAAGCTCAAAGTGATTAAGTGGCCTACTCCAGATTACCCAACTCTTGAGTATTAGATCTGTGATTTGTATACAGGTCCATCTGACTCCAAGAGCATGCTTTTTTCACTGTCCTGCACTCCTTCAGTGGATTGGTAATGACATGAGAAGGTCACATTCCATCCTAAAGTAGCCTGTTGCAAACACGAAAGTGCCTTATCTCCCCACTAGGTGATCCCTATGTGCAAATTTTGCAGATTTATGGCCAACTCACCGGTTCACCTTCTCCTGAATGGTTACCCCAGGCTGACAAATCATCAAAGATAAGATGAAAAAGGCAGCAGCAAACATGTCACCTACCCTATATTATTTAGAATGAATAAAATTATTCAGAGAGTTGGAGTTAAAGATGTCTTCAGGCTGGGACCTGTAAGATGAATTTAATGTTTGGAACTAACAGAACTCACTCAATTCTCATTGAGATGTGGTTAATTAGTGACTACGGTATTGATTAGCCAAACACCCTAAAATCTCAGACACCAAAAGCCTCTGTCCCTCAGACCTTTTGAAAAGTAATATCCATATGGTTGAGGAAAGGAGGATTTTTAGCCAATACCAGTCTAGCAAAGAGTTCTTATTTTCAAGATGAGGCAAAGCCAAATCAACTGACAGTTGCTGAATTCATTCAGTCTTTCTGAGTGGTTCTTGGAACTTCTGAAGTCAGATCAATTTGTTTTGCAGGACTGAGACCAGGCTAATACTGGTGTGTGAGCTCAGTCCTAAAAAGCTGCCCAAATGTAAGAAATGCTAATAGTTACATAAAGGTTCTACAATGTATTGCCAAACATCTGGAGCCTGAGAGCTATGGTAAATGAATGGACTTTCTGCTTCTCATCCAGACATTAGATATCATTAAGACCCAGCATATTTGTGTCTTGAGGGGACCAGATGTCTTCCATAGACATCTCCAAAAGCATTCTCTAGAATTATAGTGACAGCCACACATCTGCACTGATGATGTTATACCTACATCCATTCTCTTTCTCTTTGAGACATATTCATAAATTAATTAAATAACTAGAGATGGAGAGACAGGGATAACTGAACGTGTGGCAGGCATGTCGTATGTCTTATTTTACTGAACCCTCATGAGTCAATGAGATAGAAATGATTAATTTCATTTTGCAGGAAAAGGAATGGAGGTTCAGAGGAGTTAAGTAACTTGCCCAAAGGATGTACAGCCATCTTAATATCTTTGGGAGTATTTATGAGTATCTTACGAGTGTATTTAGATCCTCTTATTAGCAGGATTGGCCAGGAGAATCATTATTTATCTCAAATGAAGTTATGAAAAATTCTAACGAAGAACTTGTATGCTTAAAAAAATGTGTGTCTGGGACGCCTGGGTGGCTCAGGGCGTGATCCCGGGGTCCTGGGATCGGGTCCCACATCAGGCTCCCTGCATGAAGCCTGCCTCTCCCTTTGCCTATGTCTCTGCCTCTCTCTCTCTGTGTCTCTCATGAATGAGTAAGTGAATGAATGAATGAATGAATGAATGAATAAATAGATCTTTAAAAGAAAGAGAGAGAAAAAAAATGTGTGTCTGATTTAAATGTGGAGATTTTAATAAGGCACCCAGTTGTTACTGCCTCTATTTTTTCAGACATTTAGGTAAACATTTGACAGAAGTAGAGACTATTCTGGTCCTAAAAAGCCCCTAAAGACCCTGATTTCTATGTCTCTCTCCCCCTATAACAGTGGTCTCAACTAGGAGCAATTTTTCCCTTCAGAGGATATTTGGCAATATCCAGAGATATTTTTGGTTGTCACAACTTTGGAGGTTGTGCTACTGGCATCCAGTGGGTGCTAAACATCCTACAAAACACAGGACAGTACTCCTTGTCCCCAAGAAAGAATTATCTGGCCCCAAATGTCAATAACGCCAAGGCTGGAAAACACTGCCCCACAAAAAAGCTGGTCTGCCCTCCCCTGATGTCTGGGATTCTGAGGAATTATTTTTTTTCTTTTAACATATGGATAATATCATCTTCCTTCCCAGACTAGCTGCTTCTTGAGATTTCCCTGATGCTTTTTCTCCTCACCTAAGTCTTCAGTGGCCTTCAGGACTCCTCCTGAACCTCTATTCACCTCTCTCACCCTCCACGCCCCTACATGGGCCCTTACATTCTCTCATATTTCCTCTGTAATGTTTTCCCTCCAAAGCTTCTCTCCTTCATTCTTGCCCTTTGATCCATTTCAGGGCCTGTGCTCTTCCCGAAGCTATCATGACAGACTACTAGTGGGCCTCTGTTTCTCCCGCCCGTGCATTACAGCTGGACTCAGGATCAACAAAACAGCTTCTGACAATGTAAGTCTCCTGCTCAGAAACCTTCAGTGGCTTCCTCATTGTCTATAAAACTGGAAGTCCAAATTCCGTCATAAATGGGTCCAAAGCCATCTTTGCAATCTTCGTCAACTACCACCATCAAATTATCCACGACATTATAAATTAGATTCTCCTGACCTTCCTCACACTTTCTCACTGCTGTGACTTCACCCCTGCTGGACCTTTACCTGGACTACCTTTATCTGTCATCTTCTACCCTTCTGCCAAGTATCTTCTCAAATAGCAAGTCCATCATGGATCCTTGGCTGACAGTCCCATCTGGAAGATACCTCCATGTTACCTTTGAACCTTACAAATACATACCACAGCACTTTTCAGTTTTGATTTACACTATGTTTTTCTAGGGATGTGGGGTACACCTCAGTAATGAAAGTTTCTTTAGAGTAAATCCTGTATCTGATTCTTCTCTATAGTCACCCATAGCATTTAACACGAATCTTTAATAAATATTATTTGATTGAATGAATTTGTAAGTGAATCAACTAAAGATAGTTTACTATTCCTAATACTTTCAGGTATGTTTTCTCATTTAATCCTCAAAACAACCTTGTAAGATAAATATTATCCTGGAAGAGAGACAGTGATTAAGAGGGAAAATGGAAACAAGGTATATAGAGCACCAAGCTTTGTACCTGCTACTTTACATGTTTTTTTTTAATAATCTTTTTCAATCTATTTAATCTTCACAGTGATCTTGCAAGGCCAGTAGTCCTCATGCTATTTTGAAGATGGAGGATGTTGAGTTTCAGCCTGTAGTCACACAGCGGCTGAGTCTCAGAGTCGTGGATTGATAATCTGTACAACTTGAAAATCTGACACCTTTTCTGATCTGGCCACACAACTACCAAGTGGCATATCAGGACAGGGCCTGAGTCTTCTAGCCACAGGTTCCTTTCTCTATTATGTCTTAGCTCTGAGAATGAGTATCATTTCCTGGGGACAAAGAAAGCAAACTAGAGTGAATGGAGAGGTAATCACAGAATAGAAGCAAGAGAAAAGCTAAGTCAGATGGGACCATGTCATGCCTCTATGACTCTGTGTGTTTGTGTGTGTGTGTGTGTATGTGTGTGTGTTGGACAGGGCATTCATTCATCTGCTCTCAGCCAAAATGTTCAAAGATGAATGGGAAACACCAAAATATAGTTAGGTTTGCATATGTGGATTTCATCTTAATTGCAGTGTTCTGTTATCAAAGATAGATTGTTATAAAATACCAGGTAGAAGAGAGACAACAAGATGGCAATTCATTTTGAAGACGCATTGCTTGTCTGGGGGAAACACTTTGCACTATCTAAATCAGCCTGTGAGTCATGGCCTCAGAGTGGCACATGTCCTGTGATGCCCCAGACTGCCACCTCAGGGTGACATCTAGGTCAGTGCTCCTTGAAAAGCCTTGGAAGCTCTGCACCTCGTTCCCCTATGCTGAGCCCACAGCCTGCCCAGTGCACACAGCAGATCAAAGCCCTGCATATCTAATGGAATTGGAGGCAATTTACTAGAACAGAAAGGACCCAGTTGTAGATGAGAAAGTGCTACTGATCAGTTATTGTCACTCAGACTCAGTTTCTTCATCTGTAAAATGGATAAAATGATACCTGTGAGGCTTGTATTGAAGAATAGAAGACTAACAAGGAAATCTAGCCTCAGCTGGGAATTCTGAATAGCTGTTGCTTGCATATTTAAACAGTGCTTCTGCTTCTCCTCCTGAGTATGTCTCCTCTTGTAGACATGGGCACCTTCACCTAAGTGCCAGTAAAGGGGGAAAGTGGAAGAAAGGATGGGCCTGGCAAGGAGAAAAATGGAGGAGGATAGAAGGTGGGACATTCCCATTCAGGTGCCCAGGGCTAATTCTGACGTCTTCTGGAGGGAGGGCACCGCGCCAGTGGCTGACATAGCAGTAGGAGGCTTCCCCATCTCTGCCCAGGTTCACTTACCGTGCCAGCACCTCAAAGGTGGAAAACTTTGGGAGTGACTCAGAGTAGCAACATTAGCTTGGAAATGCTCCATCTTGAGGTGGCCAGAGCAAACGAAGCTTCTCCAAGCAGCTTATTGGTTGACAGTCCACATGGATGGCACAGCAGACAGTTTTGTGAATTTGTTTGAGGTGTCTCTCCAGAAGCGTGTGTGTGTGTGTGTGTGTGTGTGTGTGTGTGTGTGGTGATGATCTTTGCTCCCTCACTGGAGAAACCTACAAAATACACAACACAACACCAGGCACAAAGTCTGCAGACAGTAAGTGAGCATCCCCGGGGGCAGTGGCTTGCCTTCCCCCTCCTCCTCTCTCAACCCTTTGTAAGACTGAATGTCTGTGATATTTGTTTTTCCTCCTGGCCCGGGCTGCAGCCAGCAGACGGTGGTGGTGGTGGGTTTTTAGCTGGAAATGAAGTGGGGCTGGTTTAAGTAATTGATCTCAATCAGAGGCTTTACAAGGGATGGGCTAAGGCATGCCTACTGCTTCCCACTCCACGTGGAAGCTCTGCATTTGCATTTAAGGGGTGGGATGAGAAGCAGCCAGCTTCTGGCGCATTAGCATAGAAATGCGAGACCTTTTCTGGGAGAAGGCACTGAGCACTGGAAGCAGCACAGGCCAAATCTGGGTGAACCTTCGGGAAATTCCTATTGGAATTTGGCTGCAATAAAGACCCAAGGGCATTTTACACCTAAGCAAGTTCTCTGGTTTCATGGGCTGACACACTGTGCTCTGTGCCAGGCCTTCACCCACAGCAGCCCCCATGGTGCAAGCTGCAGCTCTCCCCCGTTCCCACTGCACCCGGGCCGCAGCTCCCTCTCTGAATGACCACCACCTCGGTAGTTTGTGATTTTTCCCACTTGTGATTCCTGTGAATCCTTGAAGACAGGCCGGGGCGGGGGGTGCCCAGGGTTTCTCTGCAGCAGATGTAAGAGGCCGTGAATGGAACTAGCTTTTCATGGGGAGGCCGACTTCATGGGTCCCACAAGCAGGCAGTAAGGGACAGATATTACAAACAATCCTACCTTCCATTCCCTGCCAGCGTCAC